TGAGCCTGCCATAGCCCTCTGTACCCCCACCCAGAAGACACCTGTGGTAAGCAGTGCCCAGCTGGAGCCAGCATTCCGAACCCTGCTCCCAGGCCCGAACCTCTCCTGCACCCAAACCCCTGCCCCCAGCCTGATAAAAGTGAATGAGATGAGGGAGGGAGGATGAAGTGAGCAGGGGCAGGAAGGAGGCAGGTAAGGATGTTTGGGTTTGAGGTAGATCCTGGATTGCACTTAAATTCAAAAAGTGATCTTGTGCTTAAAAAGGTTGGGGACCACTGAGCTACAGGAATAAAGGGAAACAAGAAGACTTTTTATAAATACATTAGAAGCAAGAGGAAGACCAAGGACAGGGTAGGCCCCCTGGTCAGTGAGGAGGGAGAAACAGTAACAGGAAACTTGGAAATGGCAGAGACGCTTAATGACTTCTTTGTTTTGGTCTTCACCAAGAAGTCTGAAGGAATGCCTAACGTAGTGAATGCTAGTGGGAAGGGGGTAGGTTTAGAAGATAAAATAAAAAAAGGACAAGTTAAAAATCACCTAGAAAAGTTAGATGCCTGCAAGTCACCAGGGCCTGGTGAAATGCATCCTACAATACTCAAGGAGCTGATAGAGGAGGTATCTGAGCCTCTAGCTATCATGTTTGGAAAATCATGGGAGACAGGAGAGATTCCAGAAGACTGGAAAAGGGCAATATAGTGCCCATTTTTAAAAAGGGAAATAAGAACAACCCAGCAAACTACAGACTAGTTAGTTTAACTTCTGTGCCAGGGAAGATAATGGAGCAAGTAATTAAAGAAATCATCTGAAAACACTTGGAAGGTGGCAAGGTGATAGGGACCAGCCAGCATGGATTTGTAAAGAACAAATCATGTCAAACCAATCTGATAGCTTTCTTTGATAGGATAACAAGTCTTGTGGATAAGGGAGAAGCGGTGGATGTGGTATACCTAGACGTCAGTAAGGCATTTGATATGGTCTCGCATGATATTCTTATCAATAAACTAGGCAAATACAACTTAGATGGGGCTACTATCAGGCAGTTGCATAACTGGCTGTATAACTGTACTCAGAGAGTAGTTATTAATGGTTCACAATCCTGCTGGAAAGGTGTAAAAAGTGGGGTTCCTCAGGGGTCTGTTTTGGGACCGGCTCTGTTCAATATCTTCATCAGCGATTTAGATATTGGCATAGAAAGTACGCTTATTAAGTTTGCAGATGATACCAAGCTGGGAGAGGTTGCGACTGCTCTGGAGGATAGGGAAATAATTCAAAATGATCTGGACAAAGTGGAGAAATGCTCTGAGGTAAACAGGATGAAGTTTAATAAAGACAAATGCAAAGCGCTCCACTTAGGAAGGAACAATCAGTTTCACACATACAGATTGGGAAGCGACTATCTAGGAAGGAGTACGGCAGAAAGGGATCTAGGAATAATAGTGGACCACAAGCTGAATATGAGTCAGCAGTGTGATGCTGTTGCAAAAAAAGCAAACATGATTCTGGGATGCATTAACGTGTGTTGTGAGGAGGACATGAGAAGTCATTCTTCCGCTCTACTCTGCACTGGTTAGGCCTCAGTTGGAGTATTGTGTCCAGTTCTGGGCACCGCATTTCAAGAAAGATGTGGAGAAATTGGAGAGGGTCCAGAGAAGAGCAAAACGAATGATGAAAGGTCTAGAGAACATGACCTATGAAGGAAGCCTGAAAGAATTGGGTTTGTTTAGTTTAGAAAAGGGAAGATTGGGGAGGGGAGACATGATAGCAGTTTTCAGGTATCTAAATGGGTGTCATGAGGAGGGAGAAAACTTGTTCATCTTGGCCTCTGAGGATAGAACAAGAAGCAATGGGCTTAAACCACAGCAAGGGAGGGCCTGCACGACCTCTCCACTCCACCATTGACTTTCCAATATGTTGTATTCCACACCGTTTGCACCCCTTTTACATCCAGTGGGCAGCAATTACCACGGACCACTGTGTCCTAGACATTATCAAGTGCGGATACTCCATTCCCCTCATTTCTGTCCCACTAGCCTCCCACCCTTCTCGTCCCCAGTGGGTGCTTACTTCACATGGCTCCTGGAGCTGGTCGGCATGTCCCTCTTGTTCCTAGGCACAGTGCCAGCCAAGCGGCTCTGCCGATGGGTTCTCGGCCAACGGGAAATGCAGAGCCAGCACTCGGAGTGGGGGCAGTGCGGTGAGCCCCCTGAGCATAAGAACCAGAGGGACATGTTGGCCACTTCCTGGAGCTGTGCAGAGCCAGCTAGGGAGGGAGCCTGACTCTGCCGCCAATTGGACTTTTAATGGCTCACTCGGTGGTGCTGACCAGAGCTGCCAGGGAGCCTTTTTGACCTAGTGGGAGGTAGGTAAGTCTTTTATAGGCGTGGTTTTCAGTCGGGCGCGTCGGACTCTTCCGCGGGTAAATCAGCTCATTTAGCTATTTCTCTTGTTTTACAACATGCTACGTAAAAAGCACTAGTAAAGTCTGTAGAAGCTAGACTTTCATACAGACAAGGACTTGTTTATACTGCTTTATGTACTATACGCTGACATGTAAGTGCAATATTTATACTTCAATTGATGTATAATTATAGGGTAAAAATGAGAAAATCAGCAATTTTTCAGTCACAGTGGGCTGTGACACTTTTTTTTGTATTTTTATGTCTGATTCTGTAAGCTAGTAGTTTTTCAGCAAGATGTAACTTTGTGATACACAAGAGAAGTCAGATTCCTGAAAGGGATACAATAGTCTGGCAAAGTTAAGAACCACCGCTTTATGGTATTTTACCAAAGGGAGAAACTGAGGCACAGACAGAATAAATGACATGCCTGAGGCTAGCCAGTGAGTCAGTGGCAGAACTGGGAAGAAGACCCATAAGTTTGACTCTCAGTCCCTCTCTCTATCCGCTTACTCCCCTGTGGAATTGCTAACGCAAGTGTGCTATGAGCATTACTTAGTCTGCAGTTCCCTTTCTCCTTACCCAACATTCTGTTACAAATGGCGTTTGCTGACCAAAAGATCATGGCTTCCAAGGCAAATTCCTGTTTGTTTTTGGAACGGTTGTGAGGAGGTTCTTCCTTACCAATATCTAATTATTTTTACATGCGTTGGGTGCACGATCCCCTGCATTTAGCTTCCATGCAGAAAATGCAGCTTCCCGCTTGGAGACATCAGCAAATCATGTATCGAAGAATTAATTTAAAACAAGTGTTCTTGGATCCTTATCCTAGGGCAACCCCCTGAAATCCTCTTAGCGGGGGGAAGTTCTTAGAAGTTCTGGCCCCTTGTTCAAACAAAGGCAAATCTAGTGGGTTTCTGCAGCCAGGAAGGCAAATTAATGCTACCACCTGTCTGCATGTGCAGCCAAATATATTTGTTATTCGTTCTTGTGTGTCCGATGGCACAGAAAATAGATTTTTCAGCTCCCGTCTCAACAGCTGGTACAACCCTGATTGCTGGGACTTCCTATTAATCAAGGCACCAAGACGTGCCAGTGGAGTAGGTAACGTTAAACTGCATTGGTTGTTGGCCTCATTCGCTGCCCAGTGGACACTAAGCTGGAGTGAGCCCCTGGTGGGGAGGAAAGTTTGCCAGTAGCTGGCTCAGTGGGTTTCTAAGCAACCCCCACAGCACTGGGGGATCTGGACCTGGACAGGGAGACCTAGAGATGGAGCACGGACAGCTGAAAAGCTGGCAGGGCCAGGGGTCCTGCTACCTGGGGGAGATGCTGAATTAGTGCCCTTGGGGATGACTCTGGCACTAGGGGTCTGATCCTGCGAGATGCTGAGCTCCCTCAAATCCAGATCAATAAGATCCAAAGGGTGCTAAGTGCCTTGCAGGATTGGGCCCTGTTTGAACGTGCACAGCGCTACAGTGGAGGAGGGGTTTTCTGGGGGCTGGAATCTGCTCAGGAAATCTCCGGGATATCTCAGCAGCCATGTCTCAGTGAGGTGGGAGTGAAAAGCCCTTTGACCTCAGAGAAGAGCCTTCGCAGCAGACCGTAAGCTAAAGAATCCATTTGCAACGCATAGCTGCAGCTTCACCGAACATGCAGATTTATGAGCATTCATGCCCTTATAGGATCGCAGATGGCATTCTTCCTGCTAACCATCAACATACTTTAGGGATGCGAAAGATTAACTAGTTAACTGGTAAGCATCACCCTTAACGGGTGAGGCTTACTGGTTCCGGTTAACTAGTGGGGCAAGAGGGTCAGGGCCTGCCGTGGGCAGAGAGATCCCCCTGACTGCCCCCCCTTAACTATTTAACCAGTTAACCAATTAAACGGGATTTTACATTCCTAACATACATATGCACACCCACACTCACATACACATTTATATAACACGTATACATGTGTGGGTGCATATATTTTTCAATATAGAGTGCTTTCAGCAGCCAAGATCTGTAGGCTTAGTTTTATTGCTGCATCAGAATCCACGGCTTATAACGGATTGTATATTTTGCTTATTTAAAGCTCTTCTATTGGGAGGTTATTGTCACCCACTCTTCTCTGCCAGGACTTGGGTGCTGTGCACATCATACTTTCCCAAGTACAGCAGACCTCCGATAATCCGGAACCTTTGGGACCTAGGTGGTGCCGGATTATCGGATATGCTGGACTATCAGGAGGTACTATAAGCTGGTTATATATATACTGTATACATTATATACTGTATATAAAGTATTCTTAACCCTTTTTATTGTACATACTGTATACAGTATACTGTGATGTTTTAGGTTTTTTAACCCTTCTTTACCCTTTTCGCTCGGTTCAGCTGCTGCCACTGTTGCCTTGTGACTTGATTTTTGCCGAAACTCACTCACTAGGCTCTTGCCATTTTGATGCCGGACTATCAGGAGTGCCGTACAATTGGATGCCAGACTATTGGAGTTTTACTGTATAAGGAAAGGATAAAAAGTAGCTGCAATCCAGCAGCGAGGGTATGAATTGTCTTAGCTGTGAAAAGCACATCTCATGCTCTTTATTTTACTTATTCAGGTTTATAACTCTCCCCAATGGTGTCCTCCAAATTGTAGATGTGCGGGAAAGCGACGCCGGGGCCTACCACTGTGTAGCCACCAATGCAGCACGAAAACGCTACAGTAACGACGCTATTCTTAGCGTCCTAAGAGGTAAGACACAAAAGGGCATTTTGTGTGGCTGTGTACATCTGAGCTGGGGATTCTGCTCTCTAACGAAGGAAGAGCTGGGGATTCTGCTCTCTAACGAAGGAAGAGCTGCCAGGAAATGCTGCTGATGATATTCTCCCTGTGGGTGTGACTATGGTTGTGGGATAGCTGGGCTGTTTCTAGGGGTGCTGTTAAATGACTCCCTTTATAAAAAAGGAGTATCCTTGCATCTGTTACTTAAAGTGCTGAACAGACTTGCACAGCTTATTCACGCATTGTACTCGGTGTGCAAAGATGAGGTGTTTTTGCCCAAGAAGTTACCAACACGACTGGGATAAAATGGTGTCCCTGGCCTCTGTTTGTCAGAGGCTGGAGAGGGATGGCACGAGACAAATCGCTTGATCATTGTCTTTGGTCCACCCTCTCTGGGGCACCTGGAGCTGGCCACTGTCGGCAGACAGGCTACTGGGCTAGATGGACCTTTGGTCTGACCCAGTACGGCCGTTCTTATGTTCTCATGTTTGCTGTACTTGGTTCTAGCGCCCTAAAACCCATGGAGTTGACCAGTGTAGATTCTCTGTGTGTCCACAGTGCATTGAGCTGTGGATGGTTCCATGCTGCGGTGTGGATATCTGGCGTGGATGCATCCTTAATCCGGGATTTTCAAAGGTGTCTCACCCTGGCTCCTTTGTCTCACCCAGCCTGAGTCCCTGTGCACCCTCTCTTATTGGGGTTGTGGCTGCTTCATGCAGGAGTCATCTGTGCGTGCGGCTGAACGGGGGGCTGCACAGGGTTCGCTGTACAGCCAGGAAATGGGTGCAAACCCATTCTGGGGTCATCTGTCCTGGAGGTAAGGGTGAAAGGATCCAGATAAGTCACACCCTGTTTGTCCTGTAACCGCCAATGGCTCTGTCAGAACCCGGCCTTTCTCCCAGGCCTGCAGGGTGACCTCTAGTCCAGTGTTTTGTAGCCATGTCAGCTGGAAGGTTCCCATTCCTGTTTGGTGCATGTTTCTTGACTCTAGCGGGGAGGGAGCCTCTCTCGGAACTGAAAGGGGGAGGAGATCAGGGGAGCACAGCCTCTTCTGTGTAATAGTGTCTGCCGGGCTGATTTCTCTCTTTCGTGTGCCATTCCCATGATTGCTTCTTACCCCCTTACTAGGGATTTAACCTGTTCCTTCGGACCCGGGGAGAGAGGTAGGGTCACAGAGATCCCCTTGGGACTGTCACCTGAGGGGCTGATCACAGCACTGAACCCACCTCCCTGCCCTATGGGGCATCCCACAATAGCTCTGGGAGGGTTACAGGGACTTTTTAGCACCCAGGTGCACCACCCCAATGGGACCAAAACCCCAGATACATCCGCCTCATTCTATATAAAGGTTCTGCATAGAGAAAGCTCATAAAGTTCGCTTCCTTTATCAATGAGAGATATGTACAGCTCTTGTCCCCCACCTCTCCCTCGTTACAGTTATTTACACTGGGTTTGTTAATAAACAAAAGTGATTTTATTAAGTATAGAAAGTAGGGTTTAAGTCATTGTAAGTGAAAACAGAGCAAAGTAAGTTACTAAGTTAAAATAAAATATGCCAGCTAAGCCTAATACAATAAGAGAAATTGTTACAAATCATCATTTCTCACCCTAGTTCTTATTTCAGGTGAAGTTCTTCTCAGGCCGGAGCTGATATTTTTTCTGACCTGAGTCTAGTTGTGTCTCCCTCTCTTGTCAGAATTCTTTTGTTCCCAGATCTTTTCATGTGTCCTCTTGTGGTGGGGAGCAGTCTGTAAAGCCAACTGAAGACAATCACTGTTTGGTTCCCATTCCTTTAAATAGAATTTCCCCTTTCTCCCTCCCCCGGAAAAAATACAAAATTCAAAATGGATTCCAACCCCAAGTTGCATGATTACATGTCTTTGTAGGATCAAGCATAGTTTAGGCGTTCAGGAAAAAGCAAAAACAAAAGGAAAAACTATGTAGCACTTTGAAGACTAACAATATGGTTTAATAGGTGATGAGCTTTCATGGGTCAGACCCAGGTCCTCAGATCTGGGCCATGAAAGCTCATCACCTATTAAACCATCTTGTTAGTCTTTAAAGTGCTACATAGTCTGATCTCTCTAAAACAAAAGGAAAAACTAACAGGGCTACCTCTCTATTTCTATTCATTGTATTCAGTGATGTTATAGTGATAAATCCAGTGTGAGATAGGAATCATTCCCTTTCCCATCTTATGAAGTCCTTAAGTACCACTAATGGCTCTCACTAGAAGACCTAGATTAATAAACAGGTTTACGCTTCACATTTATAACTTCACATACAAGAAAGATGCATGCGCACAAATAGAATATACACATTCAAGGAATTACAAGCTTTTGAATGATAGGTCACATGCCCCGATTTGCATAAACCATATTTGAGTTATGCATATTCATACTCAAACCCACATTTCCATAAAAATATGGGGGCATGGCACCACACCCAGATCCCTTGGTCTCTCTCATAATTCAGGCCTTCATAAGCCATTGCCATTGTGATATCTGAGAACTGTATGTGTAATGTCCTGCCATCCCTGGCCAATGTATAATTCATTTTGGTGGTAGGTGAAAGCCAGTTTTCTTCCTCTGACCAGACGTGGTCAGGCAGGCTGTCATGGGCAGGGGTTCAAAAATCATGTGAGATGATGATTTTAAAAAACTCTTGCTTAATCACCCTGTTTAGAAAATGGAATTGAGTTGTCTGGGAAAATATCAGGCTTGTTTGTCTTTTGAAAGTTTGGTTTCTGTGTTCCATTTCTGTTTCTCCCCTGGGTGTTTTTCTTGGTGGGAAGGAATTGCAGAAGACTGTTTTAATTGGAGACCTCTTGAGCCAGAAGAGTCTTGGGAGCTACAGCATGGATATTTCCCTCCTTACCAAAATCTAGCAACATACAGAGCTTTCCATGGTGGATTCAACTTTAATCAAAGCCCATCTGATGATCCCATTTTCAGGCATTGTGTATTAAGGAGATTTGGATGTATGCATTCCTTCTGACCCCTCCTAAAAAGGAGATAACTCCTTCCTCAGGAATTCAGTTGTAATAACTATAGGTCCCTGGAATTCAGCCTAGATGACTTCAGCTCAGGAATAGACAGCAGATGAGCCTTTTAAAGGCCATGGTCTAGTTCTCATGCAAAGTGCAATAGGCATGAGCTACAAGAATGTTGCATTGGTGCTTTCGGGTTTGGTCCATCACTAGATAGGCAACAAGAGGCTAGAAATAGAGAAAATTGCACCAGATGTTAATTCGGTCTAAGCAGGACGTTTTCCAAAACCCCGTTTGCTCTTTGGGATGTCCCTTGCAGGGGAAGGAGGGTAAATGTGACACTCGAAGGCTTTTAAAGACTTTGGCCTTCTCCATACTCAGATGCTGCTGTTGGGCACGGCACAGAACAGATCACGTCCTTTCCCAGAAGCCTTCCTTGTGTTTTCAAAAGCGGCCCCATGTCTTCCACTCATCATCAAGTTTACAGATGGAGCAGCCTTAGAATCTGTCCAAGGCTCCTCTGGTCGGCTGACGCTGCCTACGGCTTTGCCAAGGAGACCCCAAACTGCAGAGCAGGGGTTGTCCCCAGAGACCCCACAACGCTCTCTACACCATGTGATGGTTGGGCTCTGAAGGGCGGCACCGGCTGGGCCCAGGCAGTAGTCTTGCTGTACGAGGGAGCCTCTCCATTGGCCTCAGAGCAGTGACCCCTGCTGACACAAGGGGTGATATCATCCCAGTGGCCTGCAGGAGGTACAGCAGGAGGTTACTGCTCTGTGAGCTTTGGGTGAGAGGATCTCTGGATGGCTGGATGCAGGGGGCCAGTTACGGGGCTGGTTAGAGTGGGACTTCATACCCTACATTAAAGTACCGGATCTCTGCTTTGGCCCATGCCTCTTGTTCAGAAAAGTTGAGAGGAGGATAGGACCAGAGGTCAGTGTCAGAGCCAGGATTAGACGCCCAGGCTCCTGACTTCCAGTTCCACAGCCTGTTCACGAGACCTTGCTTCCCCCTGAGTGTTATCCCCATTGGAGAGTCTGAGGCACAGAATGGTTAGAGTGGCGGCTCAAGGATCAGCCGAAGAGCCAGGTACGCTGGATGTGCCGTCCATAGGGCAAAACTCCCGTGCAAGCTCCAAGATCCTCCCCGGTCCTTTTTGTAGAAGCATCTTGCTTGTTCCTCGGCTGCTCGTGCGTTTTCATAGAGATGTCTTTGCCGTTCATCCGTCAGCAGAGAGTGTAATTAACTGCGGAGTCCAAGAACATACCTTTGATCAATGAACTGAGTTACAGAGGTAATCTGTGTTCAGTCTACAGAGAATTCTCGAGGAGTCTTATACTCTATCTAATTACCAGATCCCGTGCGTTCCTAATGAAACACAGGGTGCCGGGAACTCTTGTATCAGGTGCTTCAGCATCCCATAGACCCTCCCCACTTTGGCCTGATGTGTTATTGATAAGTCCTATCGATCAAGCCACACTTTAGATAACCTCTCCCCAGCACCATTCGTTGAGATTTCTGCGTAATTATAGCTTGGAACTTGAAGGCGTTTACTCTGCTTTTTCCAAATTGAAAGCAATCAAAGAGGTTAAAAAGGGATCATTCCTTCTGCCACGCAAGCGAGTCTGAGCAGGTTTCTGGTTTGGTTTTTCTCTTCCCTCACTCCATTTCTGAAGCGTTAAGCTGCCCGGTGATTAGACAAAGGAATACTCTGGCTTGACATTTTCACTGGATTTAGCAAATAGTGATGAAAATCATGTCTCTGGTAAATCTCTGGAGATTTTTATAATTGGGAAAAGGATATGCGAGTCTGGTGGAAGGCAGCAGAGCCCTCTGTGGGTGACTCACCTTTTGTTGATCGTTTTTTCAAGGGATTTCCAGAAGGTGTATGTTATTTTTGGCACCTTTATAATCCCAGCAGGTGGCTTATTCACTCCCTCGCAATCTGGTTTTCATCTGTAAATGGTAGAGGATGCAAACA